CTGTAGTCTGTTAGGATCCTATTGGTGCTAACACTCAGGTCTGGGTGCTATGTCTTAAGCTGTTTTTGCTCAAGACAAGGGTTCTTCCACAGCTCTACCTCTTGCTTTTTGCTGGCTAATTAAAGAGTCTCATGCACGGGGCTGGGAAGGTGGCTCAGTGGTAGAGTGCTTGTATGAGGCCTTGCGTTCGATTCCTCAGCACCACATAAAGCAGAAAAAGCCGGTAGTGGCACTGTGGCTCAAGTGGTAGAGCGCTAGCCTTGAGCTGAAGAGCTGAGGGACAGCACCCAGGCCCAGAGTTCAGGCTCTGCAACCAGCAAAAAAAAAAAAAAAAGAGTCTCATGCACTTTCTTGCCTGGTCTGACTCTGAATCTTGATTTTGGGATCTCAGCCTCCTTAGTAACTAGGATTACAACAGGAGCTACTAGTGCCTCACCTCCTTTTGAGATTTTAATTGATAAATAAACTTGGGACCTGGAGCTCTCCTTGGTTGGCTCTTTTACTCTAGGCTGGAGCTCTACCAATTGAGTCACACTTCTACTTCTGCAAGACTGTCCTTTGCTGGTTAGAGATAAGAGTCTCAGGAAGTTTTTGGCCTGGGTTGGCTTGGAAACCATAATCATGTCTCAGCCATCTGAGTAGGTAGCTGCGATTATAAACTATTTTTTTATTATGGTGATTTTAGATTTTAGCAGTAACAAAAGTCACTTCCTTTTTCTTTAACTTTGTAAATCAATCTCCCAGGTCCTTGACAGCTTTGAAATACTGGTGGTGTTTGCCTAGAGAGAGCGAATAAAAGGTTATAAAAACTTACCTTAAAAACAGTGAAGGACATTGAGAGTTTCTTTTTTTAATAAAATTTTAAGCTTATTATAAAGGTAATGTGCAGAGTGGTTACAGTTTCTTTTTCTCCTTCTCCTCCTTCTCCTCCTTCTTCTCCTTCTCCTCCTTCTTTTCCTCCTCCTCCTTCTCCCTCTTCTCCCTCTCCCTCTCCCTCTCCTCCCTCCCTCTACCCCTCCCCCTCCCTCTCCCATTTTTTTTGCCAGTCCTGGGGCTTGAACTCATGGTCTGGGCACTGTTCCTGAGCTTCTTTGGCTCAAGGCTAGCACTCTACCACTTAAGCCACAGCACCATTTCTGGCTTTTTCTGTGTATGTGGTACTGAGGAATTGAACCCAGGGCTTAATGCATGCTAAGTAAGCATGCTACCACTAAGCCATATTCTCAGCCCTTACAGTTTTTAAGTCAGGTAATGAGTACATTTTTAAAATAAGTTTTTTATTGTGAAAATACTGTACAATGAGCAAGGTAATGAGTACATTTCTTATCAAGCGTTCTTGCCTTCTTTGTTTTTCCCCTACCATCCCTTCCCTCCCACTTCTACAATTGCACTCCCCCCCCCCCCACCTAAATTGTAAAGTTCATTTTCAACATAGTGCCTTGTACATCTCATTGTTACAATGGTACATTTCTTTTTGGTACATTTTCTTTTTGTCCCATTTTTTTTCTCTTCTGTGTCACCTACAAATTGTATAGTTCATTTACAGCATAGTGTCTAGTGAGTATCACTGCTGCATTTGTTCACCCTTTTTCAGGCCATTTCTGTGTCCCCCCTCCCCCTCCCAAACTGAGCTTTTCTAAGAAGCACCTTATATTAAAAGGCCTTCAAAGTTTTGTGGTGGGAGTCAGGAGCACAGGCAGAAATTTAACATCAAAGGAAAAGTTTTAATTGAATTCTATCAATAAATCTGCACAAATTTATATTTCTTTTTTCTCTTTCAATTCCCCTCCCCCTCTAGCAGTCTGGTGGGGAAAACCAAGCCTTAGGCCTTAAACATGATTTATAAGCATTGTACCATGAAACAGATTCCCTTTCCCACATTTCTCTCTCACTTTTTTTTTTTGGTCGATCATGGGGGTTGAACTCTGGGCTTGGGTGCTGTCCCTCAGCTCTTCAGCTCAAGGCGAGTGCTCTACCCCTGAGCCACAGCACCACTTCTGGTTTTCTAGAGGTTTACTGGAGATAAGAATCTCACGGACCCTCATATCTCAGCCTCCTGAGTAGCGAGGATTACAGGTGTAAACCACCGGGTGGCCAGCTTTTCTCATTATTAAAAGCACTATTTAGTGATCAATTTGATTATTGCATTTATTTCTCCTCTTTCTCTTTTTCTTTCCTTTTTTTTTTTTTTTGTTGGTCATGGGGTTTGAACTCTAGTCCTGAGCACTATCCCTTAGCTTTTCAGCTCAAGGCTACAGCACCGTGGTTTATTGGAGATAAGAGTTTCATGGCTTTTTCCTGAGCAGGCTGCCTTTGAACTGTGACTAACATGGTAATTATAATTACATATAATTATATATGTATGAAGGTAATAATATAAATCATTTTTTCTATGTCTTACCCCATTTGAACTCAAAGGTTTTTCCAGTTCTTAAAAATTAATGATAAGCCAGGTGCTGGAGGCTCATGCCTGTAATCCTACCTACTCAGGAGGCTGAGATCTGAGGATTACAGTTCAAAGCCAGCCCAGGCAGGAAAAGCCACGAAACTGTTATCTCCAGTAAACAACCAGAAAATCGGAAGTGGCACTACGGCTCAGGTGGTAGAGCGCTAGCCTTGAGCTGAATTGCTGAGTGACAAAAAATTAATGATAATTATTTTTAACTTTATCATAACTAGAACTCAGTAACTTAGGTGTTTATTTCATTACTGTTAATGGCTGGATATAAAGAAGTCATGGAAAATAACATGGTCTATCTTCAGCTGTTGAGATCTGACTCCTAGCCCAAGGTTCCCAAATTTTTTGGGGGGGGGGGTCCGATCAGGGTGCCTGAACTCTGGGCCTGGGCGCTGTCCCTCAGCTCTGCAGGCCAAGGCTAGTGCTCTACCACTTGAGCCACGTAGCACCACTTCCAGCTTTTTTTCCTGCTTATGTGGTGCTGAGGAATCGAACCCAGGGCCTCAGGCATGCAAGGCAAGCGCTCCACCACTGAGCCACCTTCCCAGCCCTCAAGGTTCCTAAATTGTAATCCCCAGTAGTATAAGGCAACTTGTTAGAAATGCTATTTCTTGGACCCATTCTAGAACTACTGAATCAGAAACTCTTGGGAAAGGACCCAACAATCTGTTTCTATTAAAAAAGTGATTTTCATGTACACTTAACTGTAAATCATGGCTTCATCTGTCATGGATATTAAAATTAAGTATTTCTTTTTTTATTATATGTTATCTTGTTTATTATCTTGCCTTCAGGTTTTTTTTTTTTTTTT